CGTTGTATGATACAATTTTAGCTTCACGATAGAATTATCTGCAAATACTGGATTTTAATGGGAGCATTTGAGATTAATCGGATTGTTAATCAATGCATATCAAAGAATTGGAGGTCTCACTCTTGATGGTTACGTAAGAGGAGAAGCAGCCTGCTAAATAATCCAGGGAAATTGCGGAGACCAATTCATGGCTTTTAACGATGAGGATTCTTCCGTTAGTCATACAGACTGTTTGATGTGTGGTTGGATTATCGCCTTGCATACTACTGACTGGTACCATCCTCGCTTTCGTCAACCTCATATTCATCCAGCATACCAATCTTTTCTACCCTTTTCGCATACATTCGGTGTGCACACGTATGTGATCAGACTATTCCGAAAAAGTGACAATAAGACATCACTGTACACATACGTACACATATGAATGCACACATGCACACAAATTCACATAAGCAAACACCGGCGACTTTCCAGAGTTGATACGAACTGTCCATTTAGCTCCTACGATGTCAGCACAAACAAAGAATCCATGAATGAGGATGCTCGAACGCGGCTCAGTCTCAGAGATGTGTATTCAAAGAGGTGAACAATAGGATTGGGAAATTCACTTGGATGTAGTCCAAAAGATCCACTTGACTGGCCTAGACACCGCTTGGCACAAAGTTGTTCAGACAAGCATAGTAATAACTGAATGCGCCAGCCTGCTTGACCACCTTCGATCCTTTCAAGGCAACTGATAGTATTAATGCAAAGCATCGTCATGAACATTCGCGGCTGATACGAAAATGCGAATTACATAGCACACCGTCGTTGCTCCTCCAAACAGATTGACAGACAGGCATGCAAGTATGCAGAAACCACATGGATTGATTAAACGGGAAAGACTGCATAACAGGACAGTCAATGCCGGACGACAACTTATGGGTTAACGATCAGACGCCTAGCTAACATTAAGCACAGAACATCGATTTCACGCAGGTGTGAGCATCCATAATGCGTGCTTCAATTTATGCCAATAGTCCTAATATTTATAGTATATCTTATGGAGGTAGAGACTAGGCTCATGACCAACAGCAATGTCAAACAGGCATAGTCCATAGGAGAATCACTTGTTCACAATCCAGACTATAAAGGATTTGAGATTTAATCAGGGCAACAGAGCACTGGATGCGTGGACAGAGACTCCTAGCTGACTTGTTAGACTGATGACAATAAAACTGGCTTGTGGAGGTAAGTTAACAAGTGTAGACCTGTCAGTCCAACCGACCACCTAAGGTAACAATAATTTTTCAGTAGCAAGCGATTGCTGGCTTTGTACACCAAGCTTGCTCTAGTTTAAAATGGACCCCATGCTTTTGGTCTGTAGTCAGTCTGCTGTAGTCTGTCAAGTATTAGTGGCTGACCGTAAGAGCTTTCATGTACTCTGTTCTCCCGTCCAAAGTAAAACCCTGCTTCTGAATAAATAGGCTGGTGAAGTAGGGTAGACTAGATTATTTGCACAAATGGCTGCAGTACAGCGCGGTACACAGCGACTCTTTTTTTAACGCAACACTGGCTGCCTATACATTAGCACGCTTATAAATATAGATCAATTTGCGATAAAGCAAGATGAGATGTTACTATTAACTGCATCATTTTAGCGAGACCGTGTGACATGAGATCGTGAATCATTGCGTTATTTTACGCATAGATGTGTTAAGTGGGAGCTATTCCAAAGCTTCTTAATTTATGTGAGCTCTTTGAATTGTCGATTGTTAGCTTTTTGGGCATTTTAGACTTCGCCAACAATGCTAAATCCGCAGGTAAATCATAACTGTTGAAATCCGAAGCCTAAAGCAGCGACAAGATCAGCATGACCATGGACAAATTTCCACTGTCTGTTAAATAAGTTCCGTGCATAGTATCGCCTTTGACTTATGTGTCATGATTTTCATGAATTTACTCGCTTTTACATTTGTTTATTCCTTTTTTCTTTACTACGTTGTCGATTGGCACATGCGCTCATTGGCTATCAATCGCTATGCTTTGCCGTCTACAGCATGTGTTTACTTGGCAGCCGGTGATGCTGAAGGTGAGAATGAGAGCGATTTATTTGTCTGCGTTGGTATCACTGCCATGCTTCCGTGTCCGATTGATATGGCGCACAAGAAACCCATCGAATTGTGCTCTTTCCGGTCCCTCCATAATGTAAGTGCAGCCCGCAAATCATTGACTTGTCTTCAAGTCAGAAAGTCTTATTAACTTGATACCCACTTTTCTGCCTCCATTCATCACTTCATTCATCCAAATGTTTCTTCCTTTCTTCCTTTCACCACACAGCGATATCCAAGTGAACAACGTTGCACGACTTTTCTTCACGTCATTAAGGGCTTGTGCTTCAATGAACGTGGACGTGCAGGTCTACATGCTGATGCTTAGTCCAATGTCGTCCACCTAATGGATAGGATGGTAATGTGATGCACCTAGGCAACTAGTGTGCTGATCGATAGGACTCCTTGCAAAGTAGAACACATTTGCAGCCACATGGCGAAACGGACCTATTAAGACAGGGCTCTAGTCTCATAATTCAAATGGTTAGTAGCAATGTGCACAGAGGAGAGGAAGAGGATGAAGGAAAAGATGCAAAGTGATAGAAGGCAGACGTCAAGGAGAACGAGGAGCAGAATGATGTGCAGGAGAAAACATGAAATAAGTTGTTGAGTGAGTATTATGGAGCAGAGATATGTAACGCTTTGTGTGAACATTCATGTTTTATTAACCAATTAATCACAAATGTGTGTCGTAAGCGAAAGCCGTCTCGTCTTATCGCATTCTATCTCATAACTCATCCTTCATATCTTGCAATGCGAATGCGTCTTGGACAAAGCGATGGAGAATGAGGGATGTGGAATCTCAATGAGCCACTTGTCAGAAAGCTAGATGTTTGTGGAACGTGTGCACGACGATTGGAAGATAGTAACCAACTTTGCACATTTGTGTGTAGGCAGGCACTTAGACAGACAGATGATTGGCAGACTTAACAGAAGGTAAGCAGCCAGATGTAAAGAAACTACAAGGAGCTTGGGCGGAAAGGAAGTAAGGTGGAGAATAGAAGAAAGAGATGAAGAAAATAAGATTGATTTGTGGATAGGTTTATAAGTAAAATGGCAGTTAGACAAATAGCGGCTAGGTCGCACCGAAGGAGGTTGAGAAGTGAAAGAAGAAGTATATAAAGGGGACTGTAATACAGAACAGTAGGAGGAGCAATATAGGTGGGCAAATGATTAAAAATAGGTCATCAAATGAATCTGAAAGAAGATAGAAGGTAGGCCTAATTGGGTGATGGAGGGATTGCCAAAGAACGGGTGAATACTCTGACCAACGAACAAGTGTAGTGATGGGCAAATGCATATGAGACGGAAAGGAAACCTTTGACAGAGGCATCCCTAATTACATCTAACTACAGACCCACGTAAGTATGGAGACACGGGCACGTTGAAATGCTGATATTAAAGTAGTGTGGGTGGATGGTATGGGGCATGCGTGAAGAGGTGAGTAGGTACGTGATTAATCGCTGAGTGGCCACCATGAAGGATTGATAACCGACCTGATAAAAGCAAAGAGCACGTGTGTGTTCAGCGTAGGGAAAGAAGTGATGAGTGGTAGGAAGGAATGGAAGAAGAAACCTCTTGTATCCTAGCCATATGGACCGTTGATTTCCTCATTTCATTTGATGTTAGATGCATTCACGTATTCATTTACAGGTCAATTATTTGTTTGCTTTTTCACTGACCTTTAAATTTTAATAAACGATTGACCACATAAAAGGTTCCGGTGGCACACGAGGTGCTCAGGGATGGGCATTGGGGGAAAGGAGGAAGGAAGAAAATATAGATATGTAATTACACAGATTTAGGGTGGGAATGCTATGTAGATTAAAAGATGGATTGGTTACCTCCAAGTTATGTTTATGATCAGAGGAATGGCGGAGAAGGGAATGAGACAAATAAATGTATGCATTTATGCCAGACCAAGGCACATGCACATCGAAGTGCGTGCCCAACTGGAGTGACTGGACTGGCTACAGAAATGAATGACTGGCGAAGTAGTGGACGCAACGGACCACCGAGGCATCAATGAAAGCTGACATTTCATGGGAAATAGCTTCATAAATAAAGGAAATGAGGGCACGGATGTCGGGTTTATTAAACCGGGTGCAGTGGAAGGGTTAGACATTTAGATTGAACTGTGCATACATGTGTGAACAACCACCTGAAAGAATAACTGACCAATCGGTTTGTTAGATGATTGATGGCCTGAATGGACAGGTGAACTTTTAATTATGCTAGATGTCCTTTTAACAGCCCATTTGATTTTTTAGTTTGTTCCACAAATCTTACACCCCCACATCCTCAGCATTTAGATACTATAACCATTCTTCCTCGAATATAACAAGTGTAGAGAAGTGGCTGGTTAAAACACATATTTGACCATATTTATCAAAATCCCCTCTTCAGACTATTACAATTTAAATACCTTCTGACAGGACGACTGAGGCCCGCTCAACTCGAAAGTCATAGCTAATAGTCTTTGGCTCTTCTGCTCCTCCACCTACCTCCATATTCAACCCTGTGCTCCTCACGCCTAGCGGGGCTGGAACATATGCGGATACAGTCCCCTTCTTCAAGTTGTGGTTTTCCCCATGAATAAATTCATATCCTTTTTCTTACTGATCTAGTGATGTTGAAGTTGTATACGACGTTCACGATGCTAAAATTGGAAAATGCAAGGACCCCTCATGAACTGGAGAGATGAAAATTGCCTGTTCCTAGCCAGTGCGACACCTACAAGCAGGCAAACAGGCTAATCCATTTGTGCAACCAGCATCATTTCCCTGAAGTGATACAGTCAAGTAAGGTCCCAACCTGCTCCATTGCTAACAAATTAGTATTTTCATGCTGTCTTTTGGATAGGCCGATGTCAAAGTCGTATCGTTTCGAGTCCAGTCGGCTTAACTTTCCGCAATATGCGCATTGAACGTCTTACTCTCGGGTTACTTAAAAATAACTTATGATCCACAAAAACTTCATTATGTCTGTGGAAGTTAACCCTGTGATACGCTAGGCACTGCAAAGCAAACCATCTCGTCTTGAAAACGACCCTTCCCTATCTATTCATTCTTCGTATTCCATGCAGCACCAGCAAAACTTCCCGCCTTCCTTGGTGCAGTTGCATCAGCCAAGCACTGACCGCAACTGTAATTGGCATCTTCTCGTTGACTTGCATATTTACTGGCATACACACAAGTGGAAGTTTGAGCGTCAGTAAGAGCACGCGTACAAGTACAAGTAAAGTTGTGCTCGTACAAGTTTGCCTGTAAAACCAGTTCATGTCCGCATCGAGTAAATGCTGGCACTGTTGTCCTAATTTAAGCATGCAGAAGCAAATAAACGTCAGTGCACAACGTGCTCTTCTGCATTCACACAGCCCTAACAATGCATTCATTCACTTATTTATTCCTTCATTTCTTTACTCATTCATTCATTTACGCACTTTCATCTCATTCACTCAAGTCCAAGGCTTACCTACCCACTCACTAGCTTAGCTCATCCGGCTAGCTGGCAAACAATCGTAGTTGAAAACAAGATGTCATTCAGCCTCATGCAGAGTGGTTGAGCCAAAATGCCCTCGTATTAGAGTATATGTGCGTTAGAAAATTCAGAAATCAGAGGAATTGCTCATTTGTCATTTGCATGCTCTTCATTTATCGTTTTAGGATATACATTGTTAATGTTCGATTCAGTATTAAGTTCAAGTTAATCGTTGGTATTTTAAGATTAAATAGTCTCTGTTTCCATTTGTTGAGCACACAATTACAACAATTGTTTGAACATCTTTTTAATAGTTTCACTGAAAACAAATCTTGCTTATGTAGATAGATGCCTCTATTTCTTTAAATTCAAGAGAGGCACTAAACCCCTTCCTTTTCCCCAATTGCCCACAATCGCTTTTCATTCTAGCCATTTAAGTGGCGGCGCTTAGATTAGTTGAGTAATTGCAGAGTTTATGACCTTCTGCTGTCGCTCGTGTGCACACTGAATGCAGGACTGCGTCGCTACCTCCATTTTTCTGTTTGTCTAGCAAAAATGTTTTTGTTGTAACATCTACTTGACGTGTTGGCCTATTGCCAATAATTGGAAGCCCACATCCACATTTTGGAAGTGTTTGGACTCACCGAGTGTCTATGTCAAACAACGCTCTTCTATATTTCGCCAGACATTTGATGTCAACAGATGGCAGATTACCTATAAGTGGCGCCAAGTTGATCTAGTCTCTAAGTCAGTTTAGGATATCAATAATTGAAATGGGATTGACCAACCACCTAGCTAAAATAAGGGGCAATTATTTTGCGATAGAGAAAAGTGGCGGTTTGAAATAGTTTAAATTTACTGAGATTCCAAAATATAACGGTATTACATGCTTTATGTGATAATTAGGAGTAACGCAACTTCCACTGTTCCTGTCGTGATGAATGCTGCATTTAAGGAGGTATTTTAACCACTCCAGGATAGACACAGGCTAACCTAGAAAAAAATGAGTGAAGCAGTTAGGAGTGGGCGAGGGAGAATTATACCGCGTTGGCCAAGGTACGCGTCATCTATACGTATGGTGGTAGTTATAAATTGGCATTTGGGTGCATGAGCTTTGATCCCGTCAAGTTGCTGATCACAATAATCAAGCAATAAAAACACCTGAATGTGAATTTCTCCTATGCCAGACAATATGAATAATGTGAAGGCATGACCATTGCACACTAGGCTGCAGCCTGATTGCGGGTTACACAAGATAGTTTAATTTTAACTAAGCCTGGTCTTATAGGAAGTCCTAGCGCATGGTGGTACTGATCAGGCAGGAGAGCATATCGGAGGTGCCAGCTCCGACACTTCCAGGAATGTAATGAATTCAGGCACGAAAACAACATCTAAGGAATGGAATAAAAAGGGGCTTGCTATGTAGTTTTGGATACCTATCAGCAGTAATCACTAAGATTATATCAACCACTTGTCTCGTATATGAAATGAACTCGACACATCTGCTAGTTTGACGATGGCATTTTGTTATCTAAACGTTAAATTTATGGACCGGGGTGTATAAAATCGCTATTACAAATATACACACATAAGTGATGATGGTGAAACAGTTTGGTAAAATTTACTTCCACTACCAATATACAGTCGTGAAA